CCGATTCAATTCGTATTCGCGCAAGATTACCTGTTTACGAACATCTCTCGAGTTGCCGAGCCAACAATAGGCTACAAATTACGCAGGAAATACCGGCGGATGCAAACAGCTGCGTCCTTATTTCACCGGGACGAGGATCACGCGTGTCTCAAACGAATCAATCTGTCTCGATCTCGATTGTAGGTAACCAAGCAGAAGATCGGAACGCTGACTACGCGTAACGAAGGATCATTGGAGATGAAAGTATATACCCGTTCATCAATCTCTGAATAGTAGAAAACGTATAACCGAATGAGACGTACTAAGAATATGAATGAACAGATTATGATTTTATGATACTTCATTGAATAATTAAAGGAAGGTTTTTTACGATATAATGCTTTAAAACTACATATCATAGACGAAGTATACGACTAGATCTATCAATTTTTTGTCTCCTGTTTCATCAGTCTTTAACGCACTATTACCATTTCCATATCACTGAAAATGTTATCATCAGATCATGAAAAGAAAACTCCTTAGTAGACAATAAGATCTTGAAAGTATCTCATGAGTTATGAATGAAATGTACAAACAAGCTGATCGAGTGGATAAATCGGAAGCGTGGTATGCCTCTTGCATGGTTAATGTTAGTGCTGTTAGTTATTTTTAAATTTTCTTCATACGTCGCACGTTTTCGAAGATTGAGAAGTGAACTCCACCCCAAGTGTCAATGCGAGTGGCGTTTGAAGTCCGTCCTTCGGGAGTGTGTACGTATCTTGAAGCGCTTTCAACCCCGCGATCCTTTGAGGAAATTTTTATCTTGCCAGGCCGAGGTTTCGTTCGAGAGAAATTCAATAAACCCTCCTTCCTCTAACCGGATTTCTTAATCCGTTCACCAGCCGAGTGTTTCTTTCCCGTTTTTCACGTGACGCAGATTCGCGAACGAATATTCAGAGTGACGTGGAAAATGTGTTTTTCCTGAAAAGCGGCCGGGATGCTCGGGCGGGTTGCTTTTAGAGGAGAACGGCTTGGATTCGTCGTTGTCAATGGTACACGTATAGACTGCTTTTCCCGAACCTGGATAAACATTCCTGAGATTTCCACAAGCTTAGTTTTACAAAAGTTTGCGCTGTCTTTTTGGAACCGAAATTCGGTTAGCCTCTTTCTGGAGAATTGTATAGATAGAATACGTAATTTCCTATTTGTTCCTATAGCTTTTAAAGATTTTCATTCAGTCTCCTTCAAAGACGTAAATTCATTTTGTCGCCTTTCTAGGGCTTTTTTCATTAAATTCAACTTGTCAATGCCATCTCTCTTTTTGCTTAGGTCAAGAATTACTCAAGTCTTCGGGAACCTACTTTGGACATCTATTTTTGCAATTACGAAGCAGGGTAAATTTCATTTACGACTGGTCACGTTGAAAGAGCTCAATTTGCGCGGTCAAACGGATAGCGGGTACTGTGAAAAAAGGAATTCGAGTTCTTTCGAAGTCCGGAGTCCGAAGGAGAGGAAATTAGCGATTGCTTCCTCGACGGGTAAACAAGGCTCTGTAGAATTACGACCAGCAACTTGAGATCCGATACTCTTAAATACAAATGAAAAATGAAGTGAAAACCATATCAGAGAGTATCTCTTAATTGCAAGATTATATTAAACCGTTAAATAAATCATGTAATTACAATCATGTAACAAATCATACAATAAATCATGAAAGCTGTTGTACTTTAATAATGTGAACCAGAATTTTACCCAAAACATCACAAATCTGAATTTGTTCATTTATATTGTCACAACATCTCGTTTTATCATGATTTAAGAGATATATTTGATTATGAAAAACGAGGAAATTCCAACTATGTACAAGCGCTAAATCTCAACAATTTCTATGGTCGTGGTAAACGACGAGTTTCATTCGCTAGGGAATAAAAATGAGACTCGTCCGTGCTTCTTACAAGATTCCTTCACGTACGTGCAGGATGCATGGAGCGAATCAGCCGGTCCCCCGACTATCAATCGCAGATTGTGCACCGCGCAACATGTGCGCCGAGCTATCACTCGCAAACACGGCGTCGACACACTGGGAAATAATGAAACTCCTGGTTACGTCGTAACGTAACGTTTCGTTGTCGCACGATCAATACCATTATAACCATAGTTCGCCACTTTCTGCGACCACTGCCTAAACTAAAACTTAACACGAAAAGTACACGTTACGTAAGATAGGACCTAGTAATTATAAAATCTTTTAACCAGATGCAATCACGTATGTATGTCCGTGGACCAGCGTTTTGCAAATTGGCGCTTTGAAAAGTAAGATCTTTCGCACTTCCGTGTAATTAGAAGAATGCAAGTAGCCCGGAAATGGCTCTGACACGCTTGCTCGTACACTAGTATAAAACTAGGGTCAAGAAGCCACTCCTCCACGTTGCTTACAATTAGGAAACGTTCGTTACGGGGAAACAAATTGCAAAGTTTGCACGATGCACGTAAGCGGAACTTTATAATTACACGGACCTAATTGGGAATCCCTTGTGGAGGAGCGGACAATCCTGCAATGGCAGGTGTAAAAATTCGTCGAGGATTTCGTGAATTCCGATATGGAATACCGAACGGCTCTTGAACGGAATATGATTGTGGGCAGTAGCCGATTATCCGAGAAGCCCGGTAACTCGTCTGCTAATTGGATTCGACAAAGGGACGGTAAATTGAATTAGCAGACGATTCTCGGTTATTTACCCGCGTGTCGGACAATTCCCCGTCAGACATGTCAAAAAGTAGTTCGAACTTCGGTCGGGCCGGATCTCGCTGAACAACAATAGAGATCCCATGTTTTAGACATTTCTCGAGCCTGAAGCAGAACGTCAAACACTCATTAGACGATTTCTTCATTCCCCTTCGAGTGGACGCGTCTCCTACGACGTCTGGAAACACAATGGAAGGCTAACTTCGATACTCGAGAATGGTTTTCAAAAAAATTCCAAGATCGTTTTTAATGGAACTCGCAATTAACGATAAGCATCGTGTGCACAAGCGAGAAAAGAGTTCTCAGGAATGTCTCGGTTACAAAAGAAGAAAACCTTTGGTGGCGAAACATCCTGAGACCCTTCCCAGAAGAGTGCGTGCAATTAAAGAGAGACAATTCCGACAGATTCATCTCCTCCATCGCGACAGTAATTAATGATAACGGACGACCTTGTCGCGAAGAAAGAACAGGCAAAGTACAAAATGATTTCGCTGTATCCAGTTTCGGGAAATTGCGGGCTTGACTTGTGTAATTTATCATTCGGAAAGTCGATCTCAGGCAACGAGGTCGTATCTAAAAGAGATTCTTAAATAGGTTTCCCGCTTTCCGTGGACCGCAGTTTACTCGGCCCGAAGTGAATGTCGCGCGCTGTGATAAGGTTCGCGCGATAAGCGTTACGACGGACGGTTTCTGCTGGTCCCCTTAAAACGTCACGTTTCTTCGCACAGGTAGTATATGCATAACGATAAACTCGCGGCAACGGTTCTCATTGCCTCGCATTACATTTGTTATCGTAGGCCGTATCGACCGAAGAATCAACTATTCTCAGCCATATTTTTCGCGGCCCTCTCTTACCCACGAGTTCAGCTTTCTATCAAATAGCTCTCTAAGTTCGTACTATTTTTCTTTTTACAATATACATCTGTAGTAGATTTGTTTTCACAAACAACATTCTGCCAGAATGCGCAGACTGCTAATTCTGCTTCTCGTTTCTCTATGCGAAACAAAAACAGCGAGAAACCCGGTACACTCGTTACACGCGTACAACTTGATTTTGCGCGTGCACATGACTCGACCTGTAGCGATTAAAAATTGTTCTTTTTTCGAGCGCGCCAGCGACCTGTGCATCGTCGACAAAAATGTTTGCGCGTTCCGTAAAAAAATTATAACGCCTAGCGACGTTAGCCGAGAAGATTTAGATATGTATTTAGGCTGGATGTGTAAACGAGCGAGTTTTGCCATTACGATTACACGTTCCTTTTTTGTTTTCACAATTAAATGAACAAAAACAAATGTATGATCGCAGTAGTGTCGTAACGACGAAAGGACCTCTTCTGCAATGGAGAAGGGGAGAATCAAAGAGAAGACGACGAGCTGTCTCGGTATAGGTCAGTTACACAATAAGATCGGTTAAAATTAGCTGGCACGTATCTATTTAAAAAAAGTAAAACGAGCACAGAACGAACAGGCCGTTGTCCGAGCTGGACCGCGTATCTGCGAATCTTTTTTCGTCGCCGCAATCAACAAATCCTCTATTCCTAGTCGCGGTTACCGTTCCATTGGGACTGCCTCAGGTTCAACCGACTGCGATTCGACACCGCGTGATTTCCGGTTAGTTTAATAACTGCGGGACGGGAGTGTGCGAGCGTGCAAAAAATCGATTTTAATTAAAACGCAATTTATTAAAATGGTTGGCGCAGGACGGAAACACGTTGCGCGCAATTATTTAAATTAGCGGCCCGAATTATTTTTCGGGGAATCAATATTTCCAGGCGCGACCGATTCGTTCAATTAATAAACGTCCGACACATTTGCAGTACACTAAATGCGATAAATATTCTGATTACTATATCGTTCCAACATTTTAATAACGTTTGACTAATTCGTCTCGTTGCTGTGCGTTGCAATAGAATACGCGCAATGTACATTAACAATGAGCTAATGGAATTATGGATCATCGTAATTACAGATGATAACATTTACTTAATCCCCTCTTTGATAGGCGTGTACAGGCAGAATACAATATTAAAGTAATACTCGGCGTGAATGCGAATTATTATGAATTATTGCTAACAAAAGCTTGGCAATATGTACACATGTACGAATTGAAAGCGTTTCTCGTGTAAATCGTCGGTAATCTCTCCTCGGTGTCAGCACCCAGCAGTAAGTAAAACGGTTGCAATCTAAAACTACTGCAGGTAATATAGTCGACGTAAGGTAAAACAAGAACTACTGTCATCCTTATCGTGACCTGCAATATCGAATCTGAAGCACGTGGTCTGCTAAATATGTTTTGAAGCGAATTTTTAGGTTGAACAAAATGTTTAAAGACACAGAAATAAAAAGACAATTAAGGGAGCTGTTAAGATTGAAACGCAGTGGAGAATTGGACACTGAAGAAAAGATTTTAAATTCTAATAATGAATACTGGCGAGATTCTGTGTTGTACGCAGATTTAGAACGCTATGTGTACCATCAGGATGAAGAAGTAATTTAATAATTAATTAAGAATGAAATCTGTCAAATTTTTGAACAAAGTTATAGCATCGGTATGTGTGTTTCAGATAAAATTGAATACACTTGCTCTCATCGTGGAATCAAAGAAGAGCACATTAAGATTTACATCCAGAGAACTCGATATAATTATTTTGTTTCTGAATGTAAATTTTAAGGAAAAAATAGAATTTGTGCCTCTCATTCAAAAGGTAAGATCATTACTGTTGAAACTTCAATTTTTCTCTAAGTCACATTTCATTCTGGCAGGTTTTAAAGCGTATGAAGGATGGCTTGACTGTAATGAGGAGGCAATCTGTGCAGAATGTGAAAACAAGTTATCTAATAAAGAAGGAAATAAGCAATGCTTCATTACACATGAAACAAACAATTTTAGATCAATACTGCAGCGTAGCTTCTGATTTACAAAAAGCTATAAACATGTACTGCACTGTTTTCCAAACTTTACACGACATGTGCATCTGTAGTCCTGATGCTACTTATACCAGAAGGAAATCTTCCTTGCAAATATTACTTTCAATGAAAGATATACTGGGTAATGAATATAAACAAGTTACTTGGGAGACAAGACAATCAGAAGCAGTGTTTAACCTGATGTTACTTGATACGTATGAAGAAAATAAAGAGATGGCTCTTAAAATAATGAAATCAATGGATCCATGTTTATTGCAATTAGATGATGAAAGTTACGTTCGTGATATTATCTTAGTTGCTATGGAGTTGGGCAACAGCATTAGACCTATTGATACTATCACATCTGCGTACATGCTGAAACTCAGTATGTTATCACCTATCCTATTGAATGTTCTTGAAAGTTCATTTAGTCTGACAAAACAATCGGAAAATAACACAGAAGCAATAGTATTGCAATTGTTATTACTTTTACTTAAAGAATTAAAGGTATTTTTGAATTTATGTGAGTGTTATAAATTACTAAGTGGAGGTAGTTAGATGAATTTTTTTGCAGCAATCTTCAGCTTTAGCAAAAGAAAATATAGTAAAAACTGTTACACAACATTCTTTGTACGGATACTTGTTCTGTATTCGAAGTTTGTTAGAAGAATGCAACTTAAAAAGTATCGAGGAAAATCATGTGTGGCAAAATACTATTGGAGAATTGGTATCTCTTTGTTTCGAGCTCAGTCATGCAGTTTCTTTGATAGTAAATAATTCTTCTCCCGAAGGACATTTGCCGACAGATCTAAATTTGCGAACTATTGACGAGACAAACCATTCTACATCGGATGAACAAATAGTGACACCGCAAATGGTGTTACTTTGTTCTTGGCGCACTATAAAAGAAGTCAGCTTATTATTTGGCTTGCTAGCCATTAAGGCACCCATGTTTGAAGATAATTCTTCGATAGGATTGCTAAATGACGGACAAGTAAGATTTTTTAAATGATGTTAAAGAATTAGTTTCCTAACAGCGATGTTTCTGCAGATTGTCCAGATAGGAGAGCATTTGGTTTCGTTACTTTCAGAGACGAAACACAGAGGAGCATTCGAACAGGCATACGTGGGTTTCAGTCAACTGTGCTCCCATTTATGGCATTTAAATAAGGAAAACCTAAATCGATTGCCCAAAATGTGGCTACATCAGATTTTGTTTGCCATCATTGGATTTAAGTCAAACTTAAAATTCTGCGCGACGAGAAGGAGCGCAGGGTTACCATTTATCATACAGGTAGTAATCATTAGTATAAGATGTTTGCAATGAATTATAATAATTTTTTTTATCAGGCTATACTATCTACGGAACCTCGTAAATACAAAGATACAAAGACTATAACTTTCGATTCGGTAATGAAAATTTTGCTAGGCTTCACCCAATTAAACGATGATGAAAATGTATTGGAAAAAGTGCAACAATTAATTTATTCGAACTCTGCGTTTGCACAATATGAGAACTTAATAAATAGTACGAATGAAAATAATTTTCAAATTACGGAAATCAAGACACATGCTCTGAATATTTTAAGAGCGATTTTTAGACATTCTCATCTCGCAGAAGTGGTAAATAATTACGTCGAAGATGGTTTAATAGCGGCGTTCAGAAGTTATGACGCTCCATCCTGGGCGGTAAGTTATCAAAATATTAACGTCCTATGATAATTTATTAATTAATACATGATCATTCTTGTAGGAACGAAATGCGGCAACATTACTTTTTAGCGCACTCATTATTAGGATTTTCGGTGTTCAAAGAACGAAAGATCATATCAATCTCACTATAGACAATAAAATGAATTTTGAATCGTTTTTTCAAAAATATCCTAGCCTGTTGCCGTATATTTTAGAAGAATTAAAAACAGTTATAACGACGGACAGAACTATTATAAAATCCAGTGTACAAGCGATTTTACTATTGTTATCTAGATTGTATCACAATCGTAATTCGGAATCCTACGATTCTCTATCAGAGGTAACTATAAATGGTACAATGAAGACTTGAATTTTCATGTAGTAAAAATTGCATTATTTCAGCTCAATAATCTTATAGGGCAAATTATACAATGTGCAAAAAGTGCTATATTGGAAACACGTAAACTAGCAGCTAGAGCACTCGTACCTTTGTTGACGAAACAGTCTGTGGGACCTGTTTTGTCCACAATTATAGAAAATATTGCGTCTCTAGAAAACAATCAAGCGTTCCTGAATTTAATACACGGTTACATGTTACAAGTAAGTGTATCACTAGGAAAATACGATTTTGTAGAATTAACATTTTTTTAATTTCAGATATATGAGGGATTGAAACATTTTAATTTGAAATTAATCGATATAGATTGGAATAGATTTTTTAAAAGTACCACTTGGATTTTGGAAAATTTAGAAGGAAGTAATTCCAAACATCCGTGTTTCTTATTAGCAGCAGTTTATACGGATATTTGTAACGAAATATGCAAAGTAGATGAAACGTGAGTTTTTTGTAGAAATATTATAGATTGTTAAAATATATTCTAATCCGAATTGCAGGTACCTGGCGCATTTTCCTATACTAGATACTCTGATCTCTCATTTATTACATGACAAACTGAAGCAAGGACCAGCACGGGAACTGTATAAATTATCAGCCATTAAATTTATTCGATCGATAGCGTGGGAAACTTCATTGATTCAACAGTACACACCAGTTAGAATATATCTGCATAATTTAAGGGTTCCCGAAACGCAAATCGTGGCGTGGTCAACTTTGGCAGAAATTATTAGCAAACTAAAGTACCATGACGTATCGGTATTATTAATAACATATGCTGCTAATGAAGTTCGCAATTTCAAGCAGTATTTTCGAAAATACAGTCCAGAATTGCAGGATGCAATATTTGATTTCCTATATGATAGTCTGATGTATCTTAATCGAATTCAGTCACCAAGTTTCACAGAAAGGAAAAATATCTGTAAATTAGTGCTAAATGAAATACGGCAATACGATAATGAAAATGGATATAGTGAAAGAGATTCTTATTTAAGATTATTGGGGAAGTCCTATGTGACTTTAGCTTCCTTTGATAAGGATGACGAAACAATTACTTTAGAATGTACAAATTATGTGTACACTAACTTATGTGATAATTTATGGATAGCAAGTTCAAACATGGATGTTCAACGATCTGTTTTTGAAATTATGCACGAATTATTCATAGTGTGTTATGAACGCGAAGAGTATCGATGTAAGTTCTAAAATATGAAAGTATTTTATTCTCTTCTAATTAAATATGTTGCAGATGTACAGATTCAATGGTGGACAACATTATTACAACTGTTGCTAGATAATAATTCTAAAGTACGACACGAAGCATTTTTATTACTTGATCGTGTACCGGTACATCCAAAAATAGTTAATTCACCTTTAAAATCTAATATCGATTTACTACTTTCTAAGTTTCATGAGTGCAACATACATAATAAAGATCCAGAATTTATATGTATCGTACTTTTCTATTGGAGCATCGCATTAATTAATGATGCAGATTATGAAATGGATGACACAGATGTAAGTATATATAATTTAGAACGAGCACAATTGCACAAGATATTACAATTAGAATTTTCTTTAAGGTGTTCAATAAATGCACAAATCTTGATTTCCTTGAACCCATAAAGGTATCAGAGATGTGTGCTAAATTTTTAATGGAAAATATGAAATATTGTTTCGATACTTTATTACCGAACGCAATTATAGATTGGATAAGTTCTCGTTTAAATGTCGAATTCCAACGATCTATTTCGTTTAGAACTTTCGTGATGGAGTATAAAAGTTTTATACCTGACATTCAGAATAAATTGGATAATTTTCTGAATCCAACTTACAAAAATAAGTTGTTGCAACTTTTAGCTTACGAACAATACAAAACTATTTACCTATAAACCTAATTTAAGGCTACATGATGTTTCCGTGTTTAACACAAAGACTAATTAATTGCGATGTAAATTGGATACAATTTTGTTGTTTTAAATAAATGACTTACCGTAAGCAGAATCTGTTCCCAGTCTTGATTATCATACACAAATAAAACGCTCGTAAAGTAAAATCGTGTCACCGTATCACCGTAGCAAAAGAATTATCAACCAACTTTTAACTTCCATCTTTCTTAAATTCAAAATAACGACGGGAAAAGAAGCGGGAGAAGTGGGCTAGTATAGAGAAACAACTTCAGATGTCATTTCGGTAACTTAGAGCGTTTAGTTAAATCGTTTGGCACAGGTGGACGCCACCGTCGCGGCTTGACGTCCGCCGACTCGGTACGTATTTCGTACATTATACCGCGGATCCGTCGGATTTTCGCGTTTTTCGCGCCTCTGCGTGGTGACCGTCGAGTATTAGTGTGCGGCGAACATCTTAATCCGCGTTGAACGAGAATCAGCATGTCCACGAGTGTTCAAGCAGATTAGAACCGAGAGAAAAGAGGCTGAGAAGAAGAGTGGCTGAGTGCGTGTACCTACCAGGCATGGAGTGGACTCAGTGCGCTTGTTTCAAATCGTTACGAGCCGTTACCGCAGTCCCAGTCGAACCGAGGTGAGTTCCGGCGATGTAAACACGCGTGTTCGCGTCTCATGCATGTCCTTTCATTCTCGCGTCGAACTGTTATACATGTTCTGTATCAAACCATCGTGTCTTTCATTCGGGTTCTGTACCGTGTATGACCTACTTGTTGTGCAAGCTGTCACCCCTCGATCAGAATATTTCTTGCGTCGGACACCGTACAGAACGAACCCTTCTACGGCTAGTGCAGCTAGCCTAGTGCCACACGACAACCTTCCTCGGGTAGGTTTTCACGCAAAAAAGGCAACGGGAGAGAAAGGAGAGGCAGAGAGAGAACGACGAGGGAGCGTGAAACGGAAAGATCAAGCGAGAGCAACGAGAACAAGTTTGAAAACTAGCATTGCCAGTCGGTCGAACATCTGCGATTCCTAAAGTGCGTCCTTCCAAACACGGAATGTTAAATAGCCTTCGCGCTTGATCAATTGACGGAGCCTTCTCGAATGATCTCTCTTGACCTGTCTCTCTCTTTCTCTCCTCTCGTCTCTCCCGTTTCACTCTCTTTCTCTTGCTCTTTTTCTCTCTCTTTCCCTCTTCTCCTCGAGGAGAAAGGTCATCGGTCTCAAATTCATCTTTTGTCCACGCCTTAGGCACACCACTAGTATATAATACGCTACGATATATTTTCCGTTGGCTGAAATACGTTTTAAATTACCACGAGTAGTTTGATACCTCTTGCACCGATATGCGACGATTCTTCTCTTTTTCGTAATCGGTCAAATTTCTCAATGTCAAGTTTAGTACCCGCTACATCCTGCCATGTTTGGTTCAATCACGACACGATCATTAGACCCCATATTACATATTGACAAAAAAATTTCATTGACACTTTAATGACATTTTTAATCATTCGCCGAGTTTATTCAGAATGTTGGACGAATGTTTCATGTGGAATAATTCTTGTCGATGTTGCGCGTTGTTACGCTTACATTTACATCTCATAATGATAACAGGACGCAAGGAGATGCAGGTAATAAATTAAGAGACATTGATGGTCTTCTTGATAGGAGTATAATGACTTTTTTCAACAAGAAAACGTACGAGTCATGACGTTTGTTTCTCATCTATCGCCATACGTAGGAAGAACATTTCATAACAAGACTACTTACCTTGTTTCTCTTACCTGAATAGATGATAACGAGGAAAACGACACAGCACGTTCTGTGTAACCTCCTACTTGCATTCCTCCTGTATATTCCTTTTTGTAATTTTTTCGTCCTTTTCTCTGGTCACATTACATAGGACCATACATAATATACCTTCACTTCCTACGAAATTACGAGTATTAACTCTTTCTGCGGAACGCTTTCGAAACGTTTCAATAGAAACCAGACCGCTACTTGTCAACGTGAACGAGCATTAATTATGAGATCCGCTTTTTCATTGAAGTTTCCAGTGATTGCAGGAAACTCTATTTAGAACCGACGAATGATGAGAGCGAAAATACGTATAATTGGGAACAGTCGGGTCATAAATTCGAATCAACCATAGAAAATTATACACAATACGAGCACACAAAACTACCCCTATCATACGAGATATGCAACGGATGCTTCAAAGACGTATTTTTTAATTTCTCGAGACTCTAGAATATCCTATCTTTACTGGATTTTATTTCTATTATCATAACATGCATTAAACATGGGGTGGTGTGGTCTTATTTCCTGTCGGAATGTAGCGAAAGTTCCTTCTTTTCTGCGATTTAATTTCGCGATCAAGCGAAAATGGACGTGTTCCGAGAGCGGGAGGAGGTCGAATATACAACTCACGTGTCCCGGGTCTATTTGTTTTATCAAGCCTGCAGCGGCAACCTCCTCCCGCGTTATTTTGACAATAACGCCGAGAGACCACGCGAACCAGACTCAACAATATAGGTAATTTATGCAAAATGCTAGCCACGCTTCGTGAGCGTCGCCCATTACATTATAACAATATAATGTTTAACCAATGTAATTGACCGTAACCGCGGCTGGGGTTCAATAAGAACGAAAAAATCGAGGTGAATTCCAAATATGCAGTCGCATATTCTCTAAATATTCTGTAGTTTACAGAAATTCATCGTACTTCATGAAACATGCGTAGAATTCAATTTTCTGACATTAACGTCCCATCGTTCTAAAAAATTTAATGATAGAAACGCTTTGGTTTCTGTTTTTAACTTTTCGGTTGGCAGATTGTCAATTAGCATTTGTTCGATCATAATCGTTCGTCTATCGTTTTCACCTTTTTGCGATTCACGTGATACATTCGACAGAAAGGAAATTCAGTTTTCACGGAGCGCATCTGTGCGCGCGGCTGTTTCGGGCCGCTGCTGGGTCGGTTTCGCTGTCAGTTTCGATTCGACGGCAATTAAACGCGTTAATTTCCCGTAGACAAGTGTCGTTTATAATCCGGCTTCCGTGTATCGAGCCACGAAAGCCCGACGCGTTCGCTTTCCGCCTTCCTCGTTGCCTTTCAAACTGCGTGTGCCTGGTTTCCGATTTTACGACGGCACTGACTGCCACGCGTTTTATCTCTGGTCATTGAACCTTCTCTACTTCAGAGAACACAGTAAGTCTATGCTCGAAGCCGTTTTCTTTTCCCTCCTGCTTTTTTTTTATGCATTGGTGGTGCATGACGGTTGACTGAATTCGAAATACTGCTGCGTCTTCACTTTAACGTTCGAATGCAGTTAATCTCTTAAGGTGGGAATCTCCTCTTCATACGAAGAACTAAAAGTTTTCTTATTTGTCTACGCATTTGTAAAAGTTAAATTTAACTTTTCGTTATAATATTTCTGCGAAAACTATAACGTTGCTTTTTATTAACCGTATATTGAATTACGGAAATACAACCATTGTTATCGAACAATGGAATACGTATTCCAGACGGGCAAGAAAAAGCATGCATGTTCGTTATGTCGAACGTAGACGTACGATGGAATCGAATCGTGGGTTCGGTACATGGCCAACCGTGCTACGTGACAGATATCTTGAGGACGTGTTCGAATTCCACCGGATGATTCACAACGAGAATACGTAGTTGGGATTTTTGATTCTAGAGTGCAATTGAAATTGGATCCTGGCACTTTCGAAGATCTAACGTTAATTCTTGCATAATCACTCTGCCTTTGTGCTAAATTAATTTCCACAGGAAAATCCGGGGACAGAGCTTCGAAACCCGATAGCCGTACTCCTATTTCTCGTATAACTCTCGGATGAGCAGAACGTATATTGTTCGCATCGTCGTCTAATCGACTTACATAGTCTAATGGTTTCGAGTGATTACCGAGCTTCTTTACTTGCACCGGAAACGGCTGAGTGTCGTCTTCACGATTATTAATGTCCCTTAATGGTGCTTACTTAGTCAGATCGCACCGATTAAATAACTCCAGTAATTGTTCTGCCTGTTTAACTTATCGTCGTTTGACGTGTTTGTACCTTGACTCGAAAGTCTCAACTTTCGAAATTTTTTAACGAACTTTCACACGAGGATTTCTGTTTAATCATCATTAATGAGTTCCGAATGAGTAATCTTGTTACAAAATTATGGTTTAGCGTTATCTGTTATTCAGTCGCAGCCTGTTTACGGTTTGGAAATTAAACACGCATTATCCTTGTGACTCACGTTCCCGTTCGATTATCATATGTGCCAAGGACAGACCGAAGTCGTAGGACGTCCTTGCCTATTTTGGAATCCCGATAAATAAGTCTTGTCGCCAGTGACAAATCATTCTAACAAGGGACAGTTTAGTTTAGAGATATCAGCGACGCGTCTCTCGGTCTCGTCATCGGTGACCTGGCTCCTCTCCATTTGGAAAACGACACGAACTCTGTGACCAGTCAAGGTTTCAACCCCTTCCCATATCACGATCTCATCTTTGTAACACAAATCAGATAGTTATACTCTAAAGTTATTGAATCTCAATTGATTAATCGACCATTGATATAAAATGTTTGCCTAAAATGTTTTTTCCTTCGTCGTACATAAACTTCAAACATTTCGAAATATTCTGATTATCTTGATGGATGTGCTTTGATGTCCGATTATCAGGAAGATTCGCTGGTTCCTAGTTCATAGGTTGCCCCGACCAGTTTTCACAAGAGGGGTTGGCGTGCTCGCAATCTGGCAAACATTCGGCAGTCGTATTCAAACGTTTGAAAGTTCGAGGCTCGCGTATTGCTCGACACGCGAGAAAGGGTCGCGAAAGTTCGGCCGAGTAGTCTCTCGATGCCGAATCGAGCAAGTTTCCCTGCCTCCGGAGAATTTCAACCGTGCCATATGCAATGATTCTCCATGAAATTTATGTTCCTTCCCTCCTGAAACTCTGCAGAATTAACTTTTGCTTCCATAAAACCTACTTTGCTACAGAATTTCATCGATTCTGCAAACTATCTTAAACAGAAATAAACTACCAGACGATAGATACTTGTGATATTACGTAATTCAAATACAATAGAGTC